TATATTACATAGAATACACCATATATAGTCTATGTAAATGTAAAATATATGGTATAACATATACTATAAATGTAAATGGACAACATAAATAATACATATTAATTATACGTAATACATAATTATACATAATATGTAATTTTTTTTTTGAGACAGAGCCTCACTCTGTCACCCAGGCTGGAGTACAGTGGCACAGTCTTGGCTCACTGCAATCTCTGCCTCCTAGGTTCAAGCGATTCTCCTGCCTCAGCCTCCCGAGTAGCTGGGATTACAGGTGCACACCACCACACCCAGCTAATTTTTTGTACTTTTAGTAGAGGCGGGGTTTCACCATGTAGGCCAAGTTGGTCTTGAACCCTTGACCTCAAGTGATCCACCCGCCTCAGCCTCCCAAAGTGCTGGGATTACAGGCGTGAGCCACCACGCCCAGCCCATAATACATAACTTCATATAAGCATAAATATCTGATGTTAATGTAATGTATATTATAGTGTATAATGTGCAACATGATAGAAATGTAACATACAATAAGGAATATTAATTATGCATAATACATAATTATACATAGTATATAATTTTATATAAGTGTAAATATGTCATGTTAATATAAATGTATATTAAAATATATAATTACAATATGACATAAATGTAACATTATATAAATAATACATATTAATTATGCATAATATATAACTTTATGTCACCTAACATAATGTAAATGTAAATATGTAATATATAAAGCTACAATATAGTGTACTATATAATGCATATGATATATAAACATAAATGTGCAATATAAATGTTAATTATCTAGAATATATAGCATAATATAAAGGTAAATCTGTAATATAAATATGTTATGATATATGGTATAATATGTGACATAAGATATAAATGTAAATGTACAATATAAAGAATAAAAGTTAGTTATGTATTATATGTAATTGTATATAAATCTAATAAAATATAAATGTAAATAGGTAATATATAAATCTATATTATAATATACTGTATACTGTATAATATAATATAAACATAAATGTGCAATATAAATAAAAAGCATTAATTTGTGATAAAAATAGCATAATATAAATATATATTATGATATGTGGCATAATATATAATAGGTTATAAGCATAAATACACAATGTAAAGAGTAAGTATTAATTATAAACCATATGTAATTGCGTATAATATCTAACATCATGTAAATGTTAATATGTAATATAAATGTAAATATGAATAGAAATAGAAATGCCAGTAATCATTACAAGGTTAATTTTATGTTGTATGAATTTCACCTCATTTTTTAAAATTTAATTTATTATTATTATTTTTTTGAGACAGAGTCTCACTCTGTCGCCCAGGTTGGAGTGCAATGGCGCAATCTCGGCTCACTGCAAGCTCCACCTCCCAGGTTCAAGCGATTCCCCTGCCTCAGCCTCCCGAGTAGCTGGGATTACCGGCGTGCGCCACCATGCCCAGCTAATTTTTGTATTTTTAGTAGAGACAGGGTTTCACCATGTTGCCCAGGCTGGTGTTGAACTGCTGATCTCAAGTGATCCACCTGCCTCGGCCTCCGAAAGGGCTGGGGTTACAGGCATAAGCCACCACATCCAGCCGAATTTCACCTCAATTTTAAAAAATAAATGCAAATCTGGTTCAGGTTGGTGTTTAACTTTTTTTTTAATGAATGCAAAGAAACCATGATGAACAAACGTCAAATTTTTGAATAAAGACAGAATCTGACTGCCCGACTCACCTCACCCACCTCCTCTTAGTCCCGGCTCTATTGGACCCTGTCTTTAGTTACAATTTTGATATTTGTTCATCTCGAATTTTTTTTTGCCTTGTTTTTGATTTTTTTAATGTTGCATTAAAACATGATGGACCTTAATCACTGAGATTTTCAGCGTCCCCTTAAATCTTGCACCCACAAGAGAGCCTCCCTGGTCTCACCCTGGTCCCCACCCCACTGACTGCATCTTGGCGTGGAAGGGCGGAAGGAGCGCTAACGCAAGAGACCATGGTTCAAATCCTGACCCTGCTCCTTGCGCGTTCTAAGACCTCGGCAACTGGTTTTGCCTCTCTGGGCCTCAATTTCCTCTTCTGAGAAGAGGGAGATGCCATAGATGCACATTTTTTATAAATGGCAACAGTGCACCTGCTACTATGTGGTAGGCACTTAGAAGGTGGGAGCGTCAGGCAGTCGTGGCGGCTCACACCTGTAATCCCAGAACTTTGGGAGGCCAAGGCGAGTGGATCACATGAGGTCAGGAGTTCGAGACCAGCCTGGCCAACATGGTGAAACCCTGTCTTTACTAAAAATATAAAACATTAGCTGGGTGTGGTGGCAGGTGCCTGTAATCCCAGCTACTTGGGAGGCTGAGGCAGGAGAATCGCTTGAACCTGGGAGGTGGAGGTTGCAGTGAGCTGAGATCACACCACTGCACTCCAGCCTGGGCAACAAGAAGATGGGAGCATAATCATGCTGTGTTTTATTACTAGCAAGAGACGGTAAACTGAGGCACTGAGGCTTTGGGTTCAAATCCCATCTCCATCATATCCTCACCATGTGACGTTCTATAAGTCACTTCCCCTCCTCAGCCTCCTTTGAAAAAAAAAAAGAAGAAGAAGAAAAGAAGAAAGTAGGGGACAGGGAGTGAGAATCAAATCTATTTTCCAAAGGGCTTTTGTGAAAATTAAAGAAGCTCATTAAAGAGCTGAGGTGCCAGCAATTGTTCAATGCACCATTCTTTTATGTGCCATCACGAAAGAACATTTCCTGCCTATAAAATTCAGCCGAAGATGGATACTGTGGATCACAAGAGCCATTTCAATGACAGAGATGTTCCAATGTGAAGGGAAAAAAAAAAACATGCATCTTAGAACAGATTAAATGTAGTAATAACAACAACTAATGCTGTATAAAGTCTTCATTATGTGTCAGGATCAGGACTAAGCACTTGACAGACTCATTTACACCTCCTAACAACACTATGAAGTAGGTACTGTCATTAAGCTATTTTCCAGAGAGGAATGCTGAAACAGAGAGAGGTTAATTTACCAGCCCAAGGTCACACAGCTAGGTAAGGTTGGGGTCAGAATTTGAATCCAGGTCAGCAGGTCCCAAAAGCCACACTGTAAACCTCCACCCCTATATGCCTGACATGCTAGAGGTGCAAAACAAACAAACAAGCAAGACAAAAAATCCTACAAAAACAACTGGGACTGTCATGACCATCACCACCATCATCATTATCATCATCATTGTCATTATCATCATCGTTACCATCACCACCACCATCATTATCATCATCATCACCATCATTATCATCATCATCGTTGCCATCACCACCACCATCATTATCATCATCGTCGTCATTGTCATCACCATCACCATCATCATCATCGCTACCATCACCACCATCATCATCGTCATCGTCATCATCATCACCATCGTCATCATCATCATCATCATCGTTACCATCACATCATCATTATCATCATCGTTACCATCACCACTATCATCATCATCATCACCATCATCATCGTCATCATCATAACTATTTTCCTTCCAACAAGACCATCATCTCCCAAGGTCAGGGGCCCTCCTTTGTCCTTCCCATCCCCAGCAGCCCCCAGCCCAGAGCTAGATTCAGAAGTCGCTGCTCAGGGAACACAGAATGCATAACTAATTGGGTCGGAGGTTCCTCCCATACCCAGCCTGGAACCCCAACCCAGAAACCTCTCATTGAAACAAAATAAGAAATATTTCTACTCACCAGAGATGAACAGACAGGTCCTGAGGAGGGCCCTAAGAACACAGAGAGAGACCCCGGCTTAGTGTAAAGACCCCAGCATGACAGCAGAGGGCAGGGCACTTCATTCATTCATTCCTTCATTCATTCATTCCACTTGCGTTTAGTGAGTGCCTATTATGTGCCAGGCACTGTGGTACTCTTTGGGGATAAAGTCCTAGAATATCGGAGGAGAGACTCCCAGTGTCATATAAGGCAGGGGTTCTCTTCCCAGCAGTTTATCATAACCCTCAAGTCAAGGATGGTTTTTACGTTTTTAGATGGTTGGCAAAAATCAAAAGAATTTTTTTAAAAAAATATTTTTAGGGACAGAGTCTCACTATGTTGTCCAGGTTGGAGTGCAGTGGTACAATCATAGCTCACTGCAGCCTTGACCTTCCAGGTTCAAGCGATCCTCCCACTTCAGCCTCCCAGTGTAGCTGGGACTACAGGCATGCGCCACCACACCCACTAATTTTTAATTTTTTTAATATTCTCGAGATGAGGGAGAGGGTCTCCATTTGTTTCCCAGGCTGGTCTCAAACTCCTGGCCTCAAGCAATCCTCCTGCTTTGGCCTCCCAAAGGGCTAGGATTGCAAGCATGAGCCACCATGACTAGCCAAAATAATATTTTGGGGATTGTGAAAATTATATGAAATTCATCTGTCAGTGCCCATGAACTATGCTTTATAGGAAAATAGCCACGGCCACACATCATTTACAGATTATCTACGGCTACTTTTGCACTACAGGGGTCGAACTAAAGAGTTGCAAAACTGTATGGGACCCTGGAGGGTCAGCATGTTTACACTACTACTCGGCTCTTTACGGAAAAAGTTTGCCAATCCTCATCTGAATATGGGTGAAAGTGCTCACTTTCTTATTTATGTATTCATTTATTTATTTAGAGATAGAGTTTTGCTCTTCTTGCCCAGGCTGGAGTGCAATGGCGTGATCTCGGCTCACCACAACCTCCGCCTACCAGGTTCAAACGATTCTCCTGCCTCAGCCTCCCGAGTAGCTGGGATTACAGGCATGTGTCACCACACGCGGTTAATTTTGTATTTTTCGTAGAGATGAGGTTTCTTCCATGTTGGTCAGGCTAGTCTCGAACTCCCGACCTCAGGTGATCCGCCCGCCTCGGCCTCCCAAAGTGCAGGGATTACAGGCATGAACCAGCATGCCCGGCTGAAAGTGCTCACTTTCACTACCTTAAAACCATTAGGACAGCTACTATAAGGCAAAAACAAATCAACAAACAAAACAGAAAGTAGCAAATGTGGGCAAAGATGTGGAGAAATCAGAACCCTTGTGCACCGTTGGTAGGAATGTAAAATGGTGCACTATGAAAAACAGTATGTGCTGGGGGTGGTGGTTCACGCCTGTAGTCCCAGCATTTTGGGAGGCTGAGGCAAGCGGATCATGAGGTTAGGAGTTCAAGACCAGCCTGAGCAACATGGCAAAAACCCCGTCTCTACTAAAAACACAAAAACTTAGCCAGGCATGGTGGTGCACGCCTGTAATCCCAGCTATTTGGAATCCCAGCTACTTGGAAGGCAGGAGAATCACTTGAACCCGGGAGGGAGAGGTTGCAGTGAGCCAAGATGGCGCCACTGCACTCCAGTCCAGGCCACCGAGCAAAACTCCATCTCCAAAAAAAAAAAAGAAAGAAAGAAAAGAAAAGAAAAGAGAAAGAAAAGCAGTATGGGCCAGGTGCTGTGGCTCATGCCTGTACTCCTAGCACTTTGAGAGGCAGAGGTGGGTAGATCACCTGATGTCAGGAGTTCAAGACCAGCCTGGCCAACATGGTGAAATCCCCATCTCTACAAAAATACAAAAATTAGCTGGGTGCGGTGGCGGGCGCCTGTAATCCCAGCTACTCAAAAGGCTGAGGCAGAAGAATCGCTTGAGCCCGGGAGGCGGAGTGAGCCGAGATCATTCCATTGCATTCCAGCACTCCAGCCTGGGGACAGAGCAAAACTCCCTATCGAAATAAATAAATAAATAAAAATAAAAATAAAAATAATGGTGGTTCCTCAAAACATTAAAAACTAGAACTACCATAGAAAGTCCCATTTCTGAGTATATACCCAAAGGAACTGAAAGCAAGGATTTGAAATGATATTTGCACACCCATGTTCGTAGCAGCTTTATTCACAATAACGCAAAAGTTGAAGCAGCCGATTGTTCACTGACGGGAAAAAG